TGCTTTTTGTTTGTTGGGGGAATGGGGATGCTGGGGATTGGATACATGGACTTGCTCATCTCATGACTCTTATCACAGAGCCATATACCTAGCCTATACCTAATCCACTACGTTATACTGCAGAAAACTCAAACTTAAGATTTGTCCTATGTTAAAACAAACAGTAAGACCTCAAACAAAATGCAAAGTACTGAAAATGTCAATATAATTCAAAGTACTGGTATCGCAAAGACCTACTGATTGTAACAACTGAATTAGTTCATGTACACTAGTATTTTCAGAAATTATAATTTGAGCATAATTATTATTGCTGCTTTTATGGTTTTATTTTAAAAAATTAAAAGATACTAGAAAACTCAAGTAACAGGTGTAGGGTGATTTATAATAATAAGAACCCAGTTTTAGTCAACTGTTTCCACAGGGATAAACTATAATGAATTAAGTGACCAGGTTCCTGCACTTGAATTTTAATGTCACAAATTTAACCCAGTCACCAGAAAATATTATATTCCCAATTTGTTTTACACAAAACAATCTCTCATTCCAAGTTGTTAGACTAAGAACAACTACATTACTTTGAGTCAGGAAAATAGGTAAATAAGAAAAAAATGAAAATATTTAAACTCCTAAGATTAAGAAACTACATCATATTAAAACATTCAACCTAGGCTGGGCATAGTAGCACACAGCTATATTTCCAGCACTCTGGGAGGCTGAAACAAGGGGATCTCAAATTCAATCCCAGCCAGGACAGTTTAGAGACTCAGGAAGATTTTATCTCAAAATTTAAAGAGGGATGGGGATATAGCTTAGTGTGAAGGCCCTGGATTCAATCCCTAGTACTGCAGCACAAAAAGAAAAAGAACAGAAAACAAAATACAGTTTCCAATTCCTGTACAAGGTCTTTCCTACAGAAAAAAAATCTACATAAATTTTAAATACAATCTTACCTAAACAAAATCATCTTGTCTCCTATTGCATTCTATCCTGTTTAAAAGGGACAAAGCATTATTTTAAACAAACTACCATTCATTCCTTAATTTACAAAGCAGCCACTCTGACCTAAAAGGTAAAGATATGTTCTGTAGTTTGATTATATTCCTAATTGGGGACTCTTAAGAATTTCAAAACAAACTCTAAAGACTACTCCCTAAAATCTAGTTCCTGGGACTTAAAAGTCAATACAGAGTCTTATCCTAAAAAATAAGGAACATAACAGAAACAAAAAGGGTAAAGGGGGAAAATCTTTAACACTCAAATGGGGAGATTCAGTTCAATGAGTTATTTTAAGAACTACAGCAAAGAAATTATAGCTTCTGACTCACAGAACCACATCCCATTTCTGCAGCCCTGCTACGCTCTTTCTTTCAAATGACATAAACCTTAACTTAGTAAAAGCCAGAGACAAAAGCAAGAACTGAGTAGATGTGAGCAAAAATTAGGATTTGCCCTTTTCTTTCAGGTGCTTCTGCAACAATTTCATCAATATAAAGAGCATCTAATAATGAATTCTCACTTTTGAGGTAACCTGGAGGGGAAATATTTAAAGTAAATAAATCATTACTAAATCTGCATAATTTTTTTAAAGAAAATCATGCTGTTTCTTAAAAAACAAGATCCCTCTAAACTTATACCCCAGCAATAACATTTTCTGACCAAAGTGACTGGGTATTAGGCACACTACTTGCCTAACAAATCTTAATTAAGCATCTCAATTATTACTGAAGACCCTGGAATCAAAGTGTTACCTAGTATTCTTTATTAACAGATAATTATTCTACTAGATTACCATCTATACTGTGAATTAAAATAAACTTTACAAAAGGCAGTTTGAGTCAGGAACACGATAGCGAGCACAACACCTGGCAGGGTGAGGTAGGAGGATTGCTGCAAGTTTCAGGCCAACCTGGGCTACACAGTGAGTCCAAACTACAGAGATCCTGTCACAAAAACAAAAACAACGAGGAGGAAAAAAAGTAGTTTGCTTTGTCTACCACTCTCACTCATCCACCAGTCTATTTATAACTGCATCTGAGGTGATAAAATCAATACCCCAAATAGAGGCCTGAAATATGTCCTCAGTGACTGGAAGGTGCTATTACAGACTAGATTTCACCACAAATCTGACAGACACTTCCACATCAACATAGTACTGCTTCCTTTCAAATTATTAATTAAACATCTACTGAATTACAGATACATTCTCCAAGTTATTATTAGATCCTTACTAGTTTAATTTTTGGTCTTTTTATCAGTCTATAAACAAGTTACTTAAATACTCTGTAATTTCAGGTTCCTCAACAAGTAAGTAGGATAGCCTAGATTTTTTTTTTCAGTTTTAAAACACGTAGATTTTTAATTCAACAACTCAACACAGTATTTCTGCTGTCATGCTACAGTAAAACGTTTATTAAAAATATAAATTTATCCTGTGTGTGGTGGTGCACTCCTGTATTCCAGGCACTCGGGAAGCTGAAGCAGGAGGACTTGATGTGAATTCAAGGCCAGCCTGTACATAGTAAGTTCAGGGCCAGCCTGACCTGCATAGCAAGATCCCATCTCAAAAAAACAAATCAAAGTATACATTTAAAGTGAAAAGGTTTTCTTTTCTTCTTAATACTTTAGTGATCCCTTGGCTTGTCCTTTAACTTATATCAGAAGATAAAAATCCAAACATTGATCTACTGACACTTCAGAAGATATGTACTCGAAGGATCCTGGTCAAAAATCAAAAATACAGGGTAGGCATGGTGGCACATGCCTATAATCCCAGTACCTGGGAGCCTGAGGCAGGAGGATCTCTGTAAATTGAGGCCAGCCTGGGTTCCACAGCAAGTTCAAGGCCAGTCTGAACTGCATAATGAAATCGTGTTTCAAAAACACCCCCCCCCCAAAATAAAAACAAAAAACCCTAACCAATTCCTGGGGTAAGCTAATCACCCTTTTTAAAACCAAAATAAAAAGTTGTACAAGCATGGACAGACGGATGGCATGCAGGTTTCTAAGCGAGAGTACCACTCGGTGAGCTAGGATTCATTTGGTTCTACAGCCACATCTTGACCTGGCTTAAGAATAATAGGAGATGTAAGGTTTCCCTTATTTTGATCATGCCTATGTCTAAGAAAAACTGAGAAACAGACAAAGTTCTTATTGTGACAAACTGAGTTTTCTGCACTATATTATTATTGGTTTCATAATAAGCTATCAGAAAATTCCAGGCAATAAAGGGAAAACACAAATCGCATTCTGAGGATTCAAAGTGAAATAACTGAAACAAAATTAATCCATAAAATGCTCAACATTTAATTGGGTCTAGTGTTAAAAAATAAGAAAAAAATCATTAAAAAGCATTTATTCAAATATGAAACTTTAACAAACGAATTTTAATAGGCAAACTTGGTACTAAAAAAATGATTGTAAATTGTCATCAGTACACCAAGATATTTTGGTCTGAGTATAACTTTTTAAGTACAACTGACCAATAGAAACATAGTTTGACAGTATTTTTTCCAAAAAGATCTTCAGCTTTCAACTCTAAACCACTCTAAACTCTAAACTACTCCAAAATGAGTAATTTATACTTCATTTCCTTAGAAGTTCCATATGAAGTACAGAATTTAAGAAACTATGTTCCAAAGAACTTGTTGGTATTTAAGTTTACTTCCACATGCTGTGTTAGTTTTCTTTCACACCTCATATGCCCTGGTCATTGGAAGTTGCCATTCAAAGAGTTGTGTCTCATATATTGGTTCATGGATAAACCTGAGGTTTCAAGATCATTTACTTACTTTCCTATCCTATTAACTTGGTCCATTTTCTTATCAAGAAGAGTACTGATAATGGCATTTGCCACATACAATGTACCTGATATTTTTCCTTCAGTAAAATTCTGCTTCTAGCAACAAATGTTCACTTCCTAGTAAGGTTATAGTCAAGCAAGCTGCTAAAGTAAGTTCAGCAACAAATAGCCCAAACTTAGCTGTTTAAATGTAAATTATCTTTATCCATCAGAAAGACATAACATTATGTATAACATGAAAACCTCCATAATCCATCTAGATGAGACTTTTGGTAAAGTTTAAAAATCTTTTACAAGCCAGGCATGGCGGTGTACACCTGCTATCCCAGCTACTCAGAGGCTGAGGAAGGAAGATAGAAAGTTTTGAAGCCAGCCTGGGCATTTAACCAAATCTTACCTCAAAATTTTAAAAATGGTTTTAAAACCATTTCAAAGCTCAGTGGCAGAGCATCCCTGGTTCAATCCTCAGCACCACAAAAACAAAAGAACTTTTAAAACAAGATTAAAATGATGATAACATAGTAATTCTCCAAGCACTTAAATAATTTTGGATGGGCTCTCGTACTACTCACTGTAGACTGAATAGACTGCAGACATTTGTTTTAAAAAAGCAAGTCTGATGACAGCTAGCTAACATACGGGGTTTAAGCATCATTAAGCAGAACAGCAAAAACGTACTGTACCTTACTAGTCCCCAGGCATTTATCTAAGAGGCAGAGAACAGTCTTTTTAATATTTATTTTATACTAAATGTCCTTGCTGTCATCAAGTAGATGTATCCAGAACTGTTCTTATTTTAAAAGGACAGCTTGATTTCATGGATGGAAACAACTTCTAACACAAAGGGAGTTCCTCACTGCAGAGGCGCTGATGAGACTGAAACGCACAGGGCAAGAAGACTCTGTACTTTCCTAACTCAGAAACTTCCCCACTAATTCCTGCCAGACACTAAATCAGTAAAAGAGACCATATGTTCGTACTAAGATGATTTTCATCCCCTGCCTAGTAGCAGATCCCTCTAGATACCAATAATTTCTATCTTTTCCAAACACCCAAGTACACCCTCCACATTCTCCCAATTTCAACCTCTTCCAAAGTTGGCCACCTCTCCGACACACAGTTTGAAAATTACATGTAAAGGGTGAATTCGATAAACGGACCAAGCCAAATTAACAGAAGAGAAAGTAGGTGGGGCTTTTACCTGCAGCTCACACCAGGCAACTTCCACCGTGGTTTCGGTGTCCAGACCTTTGTAGACCGTCTTAAAGGAGCCTCTGCCGATCTCGATGTCAAACTTAAGAAAGCGGCCGTCGTTGGACATCCCCACGGCCTTGGTCTCCAGCTCTTCGATATCATCCTGTTGCTGGCCGCGTTCCTCCTGCGGCTCCTTGGCGCTGCCGCCGCCGCTGCCACTTCCAGTTCTCGCCGCTGGCGGCTCCTCTTTGCTTCCCACCAGGCTGGGCTGGGGAACCGGTCGATCTTTGCCGGTGCTACTGGGGACCGTCGGGGCGGCAGGGCCCGCAGCGGCTTGTTCCCCCGGGGCAGCGGCGGGCGGAGGCTGCCGGGCCACCTGGGAGGCGACAGCGGCAGTCAGGACCTCCTCCCGCGGGGGCTCTGCCGGAGCACTCTGCGGAACCGCCGCGGAGGCGCCCGGCTGGGAGGCTGAGAGCGGGAGGCCCGGCAGCTCCAGAGCGGTGGCGTTGGAATCGCAGATGACGCTCCGGCGGAAGAAGCGGTGCTCCGTGGTGGTGGTCGTGGCGGCGGCCGCCCCGCGGCTGTCCTTGTCCATGGTGTGGCGGCGGCGCCGGTACTCTTCAGTCCGGCCGGGGCCAGCATCGGTCGCCGCAGCCCCCAGCTTCCCACCCACGGAGGAGTCGGAACTGGAGCCATTCTTGGAGACCGGCGCTGGCGGGGAGAGGAACAGGGCGCTCGGGGTGCTGCTCTGCTTCTCAGCGGGGCCGCCAGACATGGTGGGTCCGCGGGGGAAGGTGAGCTAGCGAGCGCGCGCGGATCCGAGAGAGGAGGGGCTGGGACGACCGGACGCGGCCGAGATCAGCACTGACAAGGCGCCCCGAGGGCGGCGCGGGGCTGCGGCTGCGGCGCGCGGGGCGGGCGGGTCGGCGGGCGGCTCGGAAGCGTGGCCGCGGGGGTCAGCGCTGCGCGGTCCGCGTCCATCCTGCGGCGGGTGGCTGAGCTGGGCAGACGGTGCGGCCTCACCGGGCGCCCATCACCCGGACGAGGGGCCGAAGCTGCGGGGCCCGGCGCCTGAGGAGCGGCCCCCCCTTCCCCGCGGCTTCCCGCCCGCCCCGGGCCTGGCGAACCTCGTCCCTCCGGGCCGGCGCCGGGGCTGAGGGAGGGAGGAACGGTGGGGAGGGGAGGGCCGCTCTCCGCGGGCCCCGGCTCGGCGGCCTCTTCGGACCAAGGGAGAGAGACCCAGAGGACTCGGGGGGTGTGGTGGAAGGAGGAAAGAGCAGTCACCCCAGCAGGCGCCTTCTGTCACCGAAGATGCGGGTTCGAGTGGCACAAGAACAGCCGCGCCCGCCCGGGAAACTCTCCGCGCTAAATGGCGCCGGAGTCTGAAGCCTCCACACAGCCCGCTCGGACCCCGCCCCCCGCGCCCCGGGCGGCTCCTCCCCCGCCGCGCGCTGAGCTCCTGCGCAGGCGTGCCAGACTCAATGCACCCTGGGACTGGTAGTTCTCCAGAGGGAGGAGTGAAAGGAACTGTGGAGATAAGGGCCTAGGACTTCCGTGATGCTCTGCGGCCGCTTTATCCCGAAGCCTCTTGGGAACAGTGGTTTTCTTTGGAAACCGCCCCTTCTGGAAGCCTGAAGGGAGCGTCATCGTGGGTCCCTCAATCCCATCCCCAAGTCCGTGTTTGCTAGGAAAATCGTTACTTAGGGATTAATTGTAAAAGAAGAGATTGAAGCAAAGAAGAGAAAAGAGAGTGAGAGAAAGAGGAGAGATTCCCATCATGCTCTGCTAAGAGGATTGTCTTGCAATGAAAAATGATCTGTTACTGGTCTTTAATGGAGAGAGCTGCAGTGGTGTTGAGCGAGCGGGACTTGAGGGAGGAGGGGAGGCAAAGCAAGATTGCTGAGATTCGGAAGAGCCATCCATTCGTAGGAAACTTTATGGACATAACGCTTGAGATTAATATTGATTGAGGTTTAGGGTAGGAACATTAAGGCAGCATTATCTTCCATCCCCCAGACACGCACGCACACGCTCGCGCACCAATTAAGGCCACATTCTCAGCTCCAGACTCAAGACAGAAATTCTGAATGCAAAGATGCGTTCCCCTACTGAAATCGAGAATTGTCTTGCTTTGCCCTAAGAAACTAATGAACAGGGGTGGAGGAGGGGGTTTGAGGAAAGAGAAAGATACATGTTCGTATCTTTGACCATAAATTTGAGGGCTGAGTTGACTTCTGCCTTTGTAGTTGGTTAAAACTTAATTTCCATCTTTCTTTTGCTTAGTAGCTTAGAAAAAAACAAAACAACCCACACCCTTTCTCTGGAACTGCATGAATGTACGTATATAATTCATACCAAGGCTCTGAACTCAGGAAATTTGAATCCATACAATTCACAGTGCGGGAAATACTTCCCTTCAAACCGTCCTTGTGTCCCTGGACCCTTAGCAATTTGCAATCTACAGTACACAGGACTGCACAGGTGATGAGCAGCAGGGGGCACCAGACAGAGTAGGAAACAGGATTTAGAAACCAGACGGCAGTTAAAAGTCAGCTCAACCGGTAAGAGCGGGAAGCGCTTACGCATACGCAACCCTATCGGATCGCGGACCGCGCGGAGAGCAGCAGTAGTTTGGAAACCACTGCAGGGAAGATTCGTTAGTACAGTTTCTCTTGATGAGCGCCGCTTAGAGAAATCTTGCTATACAATTTGTATACGCTCATCGGATACGTCAAAAAATTAACGTTATTTCTGTTTGTTTTGTTTATCAAAAGCTACATTTTCAGGCTTATTCAGAACCTTTGTTTTAAACCAGTGATATTTAGATTTCGTGAAATTGGCAGGTTATGAATATTTTAAAGCACAAATTCAGCAGGGGTAACTAAAGTGCAGTACTAAAATACTTTCATTGTTTTAGAGAATAAATCTTTCATTTGCCATTCTAACGGTAAATCTGGTGGTGATTATAATAATGGATTTTCTTCAACGATAAACCTAATGTCAGCAAGGGAAAAAATAACTGTAGAGCATATTTTTGTTGTGCTTCTTGGTGCTTCTTAGAACTTAGTTGTTTTACTATAAAGAAGTTTGTTTATAAGACAACTAATTATATTATCCATTGGCAAGTTAAAAGAAGATCAGTAAATCACAGTGTTCACTTTTTTGCCTCCTTAAAAAAATTAGGATGTTTCTGTGTGAGTACTTATACAAGCATTTTATTATTGCCCATTCTTGCTTGCTGAGCCCTGAAACTTCCATCACACTGCATTGGACACAAGTCTTTAACAATCACATGTCATGTCAACAAGTCTTTTCAACCAGGAGCACCTAAATTCATTGTAAGTTATTCAGTTATCTGTTGACTTAAAGCACCCTTCCCCACACGGCAGTGTTTTGTACTTTGGTCAGATTAGTTTTATTATGAAAACGGACATAACTTCAAGTATAATATTATGCACAATGGTGAGATTTAAAACTTACACTCTGTACAGTGAATATGTACACAGAATAAACACTTCTTTGCTCAATTCTCTATTTTTATTTTATTTATTATGACTATTGTTATTGTTATTGTTATTATTTTGGTCTTTTTGAGACAAGATCTGGCTATGCAGTTTAGGCTGGCCCTGAGCTCACTTTGTAATCCAGGCTGGTCTCGAATTTGCAACAATCGGCCTGCCTGAGCCTTCCAAATGCTAGGATTTCAGAGGTGCACCACCACGCCCAGCTTCAATTCTCTTTTTAAAGTTTACCAACCTCCAAGTAATTTGATGTTTTTCTAAGATTTCATTGCTATAATCCCTGGTAGTACTTACGCTGTCATTTCAATTATCAAATAAGGAGTCAACTCCTCTATCATCCATATAAAACATCAAGTAACAAATAGAGGTAGCAGTAAAAAAAAAACCTCCAGATCACAGTACAGTGTTAGAGGTTTATCATCCTGACCTTTGGGTTCATAAGAATATAAGTTTTTCCCTTCTTTCACCGTGTTCTTTCTCTCTAGCTCTTGTTCATTTTCTTGTTGTTCAGTTTCACGTTGATTCATGCTTCTCCTTTCCTATCCATTCAAATTTGTCTGGCATGGTAGCACTTGCCTTTAATTCCAGCACTGGAAAGGCTAAGGCATGAAAACCTCACAAATTGAAGGCCAGCCTGCGCTATACAATGAGTTTAAGGCCAGCGTGGACTACAGAGTGATATTGTCTCAAATCAAACCAAGAAAAAAATTTTTTAATTGCAAAGAAGGCAGAGTTGGGCATGTGGCTCAGTGCTAAAGTGCTTGCCTACTACCAAGACCCTTGATCCCATCCTGTAGCACTGCAAAAAAACAAAGAACAAAAGAAAGCAAAATAAAATACATGAAACAGCTAGAAAAAAAGAACCAAGGAATAGTTAAACCACATTTACAATCATATTAAAAGTAAATGATTTAAATTCTTTTAAACTCTCCAGTACAAAGGAAGATATTGATAGATTAGATAACAAAGTAATACCTTACTATATGCTGCTTATTTTTTAAAAATAACCTTTTAAATCTTAAGACACATTACTGGTGTGGAGGCACAGGCCTGTAATGCCAGCACATGGGAGCTGAGGCAGAAGTGAGTTGTAGGTCAGCCAGAATTACATAGCAGGACCCTGCCTCAAAAAAAAAAAAAAAAAAAAAAAAAAAAAAAAGTTTTAAAACAAATTAAAAGGAAATAGAAGAAAACACTACAAAAAAAATTAGTAGTGATATTAATATAAAACAAAGTCTCGAAAAAAGAACAAAAACAAAATTTTAAAAAATTTCATTGAGTTCAATTCACCCAGAAAAAAATTTCAAAATTAATAATACCTAAAACTATAAAAATTATGGAGGAAAATCTATAGCCTAGGGCCAAGCAAAAACAAAGTAAAAAAAAAAGTTTAAAATGTAAAAAAAAAACAAAAACAAAAACAAAACACATTAAAATACTATTAAAATGGACTTTATGCAAATTAGAATTTTTTTGTTCTTTAAAAGATAATGTGGCTGGTCATGATGTGTACACTTGTATCCCAGCTACTTGGAAGGCTGATGCAAGAGGATTTCAAGTTCTATACCAGCCTGGGAAATTTAGCAAGATCCTATCTTACAATAAAAAGGACTAGAGATGTAACTTAGTAGAATGTTTGCCTAGTATGCATGAGGCCCTTATGTTGATCCTTGGCACAAAAGAAAGGAAGAAAGAAAAAGACAGAGAGAAAGAGAGGGAGAGGGAGAGAGAAAAAGAGAGGGGAGGGAAAGAAAAAGAAAAGACACAGCTAAAAATGAAAGAAAAAACTAAAAATACTGGAAACTAAATGTCTGAAAAAATCAAAACAGTATCTAGAGAATTCTTGAATTTAACATTAAGATTACAGTACAATAAAAACGTGTGCAGAAGACTTGAACAAGTTCTTCACCAAATAAGATAAAGGAATGGCAAATTAATACATGAAAAGATGAATAACATCATTAGTCATTAAGGAAATGAACAATAAAACCATAGTGAAATATCACTACATTCCCAAAAGGATGGCTGAAATTATAAATAAAATACTAAGTGGTTGATAAGGATATAGAACAAATACCATATTCTCCTGAAATTTGGAATGGATTTTATATTATTTTTTGCTACAAAAGTTACAATAGGACTTATTTTCAAGATGTCTTACTTTTTCATGTACAACAGTGTGCATTTATTCATGTATAATTATATTTACTCATGTACAAAAATTTACATTTTTTTCAAATACAATCACACTATCATCTACTGAAACACTGTTGTAACTATACAAATCCCATATTTTGACTGAATTTCTTTGTGTGTGTGTGTGTGTGTGTGTGTGTGTGTGTGTGTATCTTTTTGAGACAGGGTCTCGCTATGCGGTTCAGGCTGGCCTTGAGCTCACTTTGTAGCCCAGGTGGTCTTGAACTTGCAACGAGCTGCCTGCCTAAATACCCAAGTAGACACCTTTAGTTTTTAAAAATACTTTATTATTATTGTTGGGTTTTTTTGGAGACAGGATCTCATTATATAGTTCAGGCTGGTCTTGAACTCACTATGGGCCCATGCTGGCCTCGAACTCATGGCGATCTTCCTGCCTTAGTTCCCTGTGTGCTGGGACTACAGGTGTGCATCACCACATCAGGCCCAAGGAGCACCTTTGGACAACAGGAAACACTGTAAACAGATGAACCAAACTTGCCGAATGACCAATTGGAGTAGAGATAATGCACAAGTAATGTATACATTTGCTAATGAATAGAAATGAATGTATCTATCATCATATGAATCTACATAATTAAACACATAAATAAATGTTTTCTAAGTTTTGGTGCTTACAATTTTTGTCACTTTTGTGTAGACCATCTTTTTTATTTATTTATTT